TTCTTCGAAACATTTGGGATAATGTAAGTACACAAGTCAGCAAAATATATAACACTGTTCTAGTGGTTTTTGGATATTTTAATAAAAAAAATCTTACATATTGTGCCTTTAAATGAAACAATTGCAAACAGCAGCTAACTCAATTCACATGATGTGTGTACTGATAGGCATCTGTGGTTTCCTCTTTTTGTGTAATTTGGATGGAAAATGAGTGCCTTTTTATTGTCCAAGTCACTTATTAAAAGTTGCTGTATAAGTTTTAAAAGTTGCTAAATTTGTTGCTAAGTGCTTTTGGAAGTAGTCTGAAAAGTTGCTAAATTTGGCAACAAAATTGCTAAATTGGCAACACTGTAAATCCGCTTTGAAGCAATCACATACAGGGTGGGTTTCCCCCTTCTGGTCTATGTATCCCTGCCTCTACTGAATTATGTTTATCCTCAGTGGGGATAAAAATATAAAAATATCCCCCCGGGTGATGATAAAATACCAAAATTGAAAGTAGTTTTTAAAACATCAGCAGGTAAAACACTGAAATATGACAATACAAACAACAATAAAATCAGAAATGGACTTTAACTGTCAGCGCTCACGTTTAATAGAGACCGTCTGGGTTTCGTGATCCTGGTTCACGCACCATTAGTGTATTTCAGAGTGACAGTATGAGATTGTGCGAATTATGATCACGCAATATTGACTGATGGATCGGCAGAGAATCGTCTTTCTGCGAGTCATTAGGAAATTATGGTTCTATTCTCTTTAAAGAAATATGAGGCAAATGTGTGAATACATAATGTGCACACTTTTGGAGTTAACGTTTGTATGATGTGTAGCGAAGCACTGATCAACAATAAATGGAAGCAAGCGCAATTGAATATGTACAGGTTCAATTGCCAATATATCATAAATAGTGGTCAAATATCTCAAGGTCATATCAGAATATTTATTGTGAAAAATAATCCAACACTCAGTTCAAGGCGGTGGTTCATACAGTGCCAAATAAGTACATCGGGAAACAGTTGAACAATCTTTGCTGCAACACTAGAATAACGGAGGCACCACCTGAAGCAAAACAAACAAAACCTTCTTTTACAACAGCTTCGGAAATTGTTGAAATCACGGTCACATTTACAGACTGTGGTTATGAGTTTATGAATCATATGTCAGCATGAATAGGGAGCGCTTATTAGTCACTTTTATAAATGTCTTTGGAAATGAGCATCTGCTAAAAGCCTTAAATGGTGTAGATCGATTTAAACATGAGCTGTTTTATAATCGTATTGTTCACATGTTTTGATTCACTGTGGTTTTGTACAGGTCAGTTTGAGATTGAGAAACCAGAATGTCTCACACTGTCGTACCCATGAACTCTTCAACGCTCGTCATCCAGCTGCAGCCAGCAACACAAACAGCAGCTCCTGTGCCTGTTTATGTACAACAGGTGGCGGGAGCTTCACCTCTTCATGGACTTCAGGCATTTCTGAAAGGACAACCGAAAGCCCTTGGGGTGAGAAATGTCTCATAAACTCAAATATATACTTTTTTTTTTATTTGTGCATGTCACTGTGAGGTAAGAAAAGTTGCTACATAACTACAGCTGCCATGTTGTATATTTTACATTGTTCCCCTTTATGAAAGACTCTTGTGCTACTCACACTTTCTGCATTCTTTTTGCTCCTCACAGACGGTCCAGATAATGATCGGTCTGCTAACTCTACTGTTTGGCATTGTGTCTTCAGTTTATGCAGAACCCATCTTTATCTTTAGTGGTCTTCCTTACTGGGGATCTCTCATCGTAAGAAACTACTATACAATTAAGTTTTCAGTCTTTTATAATACAAGCTACATATTCCAACTCAAGCTTTAATCCTGGCCTTTCTCTCTTTTCTCAGTACATTACCGCAGGCTCACTCTGCATTGCTGCAGAAAACAAAATGAATTCCCCCTCCAGTGTGTGTTTGGTATGTACTACACAACACTTTACTTTTAAGGGTCCAAGCACCGTGCTCTTTCAGTCTGATTTATGCCCGCCCCCAGACCACGATTTGGTAGTTTTTGTTTCTAAACAAAGCAGCGCTGCACTTATAAACCCTACTTTAATATGCATTATACAGAAGCAAGATTGAAATCATTATTTATGTGAAGTATAGTGTATTTTTGTCACACTCCATATACTTTTCTATATACAGTGGGGAAAAAAAGTATTTAGTCAGCCACCAATTGTGCAAGTTCTCCCACTTAAAAAGATGAGAGAGGCCTGTAATTTTCATCATAGGTATACCTCAACTATGAGAGACAAAATGAGAAAAAAAAATCCAGAAAATCACATTGTAGGATTTTTAAAGAATTTATTTGCAAATTATGGTGGAAAATAAGTATTTGGGCAATAACAAAATTTCATCTCAATACTTTGTTATATACCCTTTGTTGGCAATGACAGAGGTCAAACGTTTTCTGTAAGTCTTCACAAGGTTTTCACACACTGTTGCTGGTATTTTGGCCCATTCCTCCATGCAGATCTCCTCTAGAGCAGTAATGTTTTGGGGCTGTCGCTGGGCAACACGGATTTTCAACTCCCTCCAAAGATTTTCTATGGGGTGAGATCTGGAGACTGGCTAGGCCACCCCAGGACCTTGAAATGCTTCTTACAAAGCCACTCCTTCGTTGCCCGGGCAGTGTGTTTGGGATCATTGTCATGCTGAAAGACCCAGCCACGTTTCATCTTCAATGCCCTTGCTGATGGAAGGAGGTTTTCACTCAAAATCTCACGATACATGGCCCCATTCATTCGTTCGTTTACACGGATCAGTCGTCCTGGTCCCTTTGCAGAAAAACAGCCCCAAAGCATGATATTTCCACCCCCATGCTTCACAGTAGGGTCTTGTATGTCTTCCATTTTCTAATAATTGCTCCCACAGTTGATTTCTTCACACCAAGCTGCTTACCTATTGCAGATTGGTCATCCAAATGCTCTCTAGCAAACTTCAGATGTGCCTGGACATGTACTGGCTTAAGCAGGGGGACACGTCTGTCACTGCAGGATTTGAGTCCCTGGCGGCGCAGTGTGTTACTGATGGTAGCCTTTGTTACTTTGGTCCCAGCTCTCTGCAGGTCATTCACTAGGTCCCCCCGTGTGGTTCTGGGATTTTTGCTCACAGTTCTTGTGATCATTTTGACCCCACGGGGTGAGATCTTGCGTGGAGCCCCAGATCGAGGGAGATTATCAGTGGTCTTGTATGTCTTCCATTTTCTAATAATTGCTCCCACATTTGATTTCTTCACACCAAGCTGCTTTCCTATTGCAGATTCAGTCTTCCCAGCCTGGTGCAGATCTACAATTTTGTTTTTGGTGTCCTTTGACAGCTCTTTGGTCTTGGCCATGGTGGAGTTTGGAGTGTGACTGTTTGAGGTTGTGGACAGGTGTCTTTTATACTGATAACAAGTTCAAACAGATGCCATTAATACAGGTAACCAGTGGAGGACAGAGGAGCCTCTTAAAGAAGAAGTTACAGGTCTGTGAGAGCCAGAAATCTTGCTTGTTTGTAGGTGACCAAATACTTATTTTACCGAGGAATTTACCAATTAATTCTTAAAAAATCCTACAATGTGATTTTCTGGATTTTTTTTTCTCATTTTGTCTCTCATAGTTGAGGTATACCTATGATGAAAATTACAGGCCTCTCTCATCTTTTTAAGTGGGAGAACTTGCACAATTGGTGGCTGACTAAATACTTTTTTGCCCCACTGTACATTAACGTGTTAACACAAAGGTTTAAATTTTTGCTAATTTATTAACCTGTTTTATGTTGTTTTTCTGCCTGTAGGTGAATGTGTCACTGGGAATGAACATTTTCAGTATTATAACCGCAGGCATTGCCATTATTTTACTTTCACTGGATTTGGTTATAGGTGTACGCATGTACTGCTGGGGTTATGACTGTAATCATTTAGACAGAAGTTATGAGGTAAGTCTACAACTTTTGTATTCACTAGGGATGCACCGAAATAGCATTTTCGGTTTTTCTTCAAAAGATAAAAATGGCTGAAATTTTGAGCCGAAATAATTACCGATTAGAATGCTTCCAGTTTCACAATAGATCTGAGATGATAAAAGCTATTGTTCACTACTGAGTTAAGGCCATTATCAAAAAACTCTCCCACATTTTTTGCATGTGTATGAGAATTCAGAAATTTTAGAATCATTTTGCCGTTAAAAAACTACTGTCAAGACACGCAGTGAAACATTGGCAATGAAAAGGACAGTTATTTATGCATTTATAAGAGTTTCCATTTCAGACACAAAATTACTTAAATGAATCACGCAACATGATTTTATTAAGGTTTGCACCAGTC